CACAGGATTGCGGTGGTTTGGGGGCGGGGGCAACACTGTGACTGAACTACTCATGAAAACGGTTTGGTAGGTGTTATTTTGGAGAGAATTAACGTGAAACTTAATACATTCACCATTTTTTTTTTTACTGCGCTTGTCCTTACTACGATTGGGGGTGAGCAGGATCCTGACATTTGCATAGCACAACCCTTTGGAGTAACATTCATACCTATGGACAATGTTAAGTCGTTAACTCATTCACTCCCAAAGACGTTTTTAAACGTGTTTTCAGACTTGGTCCAGAATTGGCCGGTACTGAATGAGTTTTAATTAGCCCAAGGAGCATGCTTTTCAAACCAGGGAGGAAGCCGAAGTACCCACAGAAAACCCACGCAAGCTAGGGGAGACATGCAAAATCCAAACCGGAAGGTCTGAGCCCAGATTCAAACACCTGACCTCGGAACTGCGTGGCGGATGTGCTTTCCATTTGGGTACCGTGCCACCCCGTCAAAACATCTATCCGATCATCCATTATCCAAGCCGCTTATCCTCATGTTGTTGATTTAACCCTTTCAGGGACAGCGGTCACTGCAGTGGACAGCCGATCATGTTATCAGGTTTACTGGGTATCATTCGTGGTGCATGAAAGGGTTAATTAAAAAATCTTGGAATTTCAGATTGAAAGTTCATACACGTTTCATCGGTCTTAAGCGACAATGTCAAACAATGTCCGAATTTGAAACCAATAAAAATGTTGTAATCGCAGCTTGTTCATTTGCTTACATTACCAAATCAATTTGTCATTTTTGGTTTTCACGTAGTATTTGTTAGCTTCTTTGAACTCAGAAGATCGGATTGGTGACAAATGTCCGTGCCCTCAGAGTGTCCTTTTAAAAGGAGTGCCTCATACTCCACTACCTCAAAAGTCAAAAGGGGCCACGGTATGCACCAAGTTGTGGAGCTCACTCCTATTTCCTGGCATGACGAAAGGCTGAATTTTTCCAGGCCGGGTTGAAAGGCGCAGCTCTCACTTTAACAACTGACTGATTTTCCTCCCCTCATTTGTCTCAAAGTAAGAAGGAGCTAACGCAGCTACAAACAGCCAAAATGAGTTTTCTCTGTAGCGTGACGGCGCTCGGCTGCACTTCCCTCCTGCGTTGCAGCCACTGCGGAGCGACAAGTTCAGGAAGGAGATGCGGGGACATGTTTGGCTCTGTCGTGCTACACTGACTCACAGTGATCTCTTGAGGGCCCAAGTGGTATCACCAGAAGGGACCGGAGTAAGCTTGTTTGGATGTTTGGACAAATTGCACCTATAAATAAGATGATGCATTCGTGTCCTCACTCCTGGCAAACCCCCTGACAATCCCCGCAGTCCCCTTTGTATTGGAGTCATTAAAATGAAGACTTTTGTCAATAATTTAGACGTTTGCCGGATTCGCCGCCCTCCTGGTAGTCGCTGGTGTCGTTTAAGGCAAAGAGAGTCTCAGATCTGACAGATGTTAGGACACATGGCCACACTGTGCTGCAGAAACTGAAGAAAAGGCAACTTGAAAGCAGCCTGCATCCTTTTTGGGAGCACATCACATGCATTATTACACCTTCGCTAGTCACGCACGCTGGATCCTCTGAAGTGGGACACCTCTGAGGTTGTAGATTGGAAAATTCAACTTTCTTTTTCCTTTTTTTAAAAAAAAATAAAATGACTGCTTTTGCTGGGAAAATACTGGATGGGAAAAGTTACAGACTTGAACAAAAGATACAAGACTCCTGTGTCACTATTCCCACCCTCACTTGGTATGAAAGTTCATTGGAATATTTTAATTTCAAAAGCAGAGAATTTAATTGACGTTAGTAAAGCGAATTCAGAGATTTCATTCTGACTATGTTTCACATTTTGCCTTCAATATTTGCTCTTTTGTAATATGAAACTACGTGAGTAAAATAAGTGGTTGAAAAAGTCAATTATATTACATGTTGAATAATTTTATATTACAGTAAAAATGTTGGTAGTAATCACTTGCTAGACACAACAATAATCATCAAGAAAGAATTGCAGGACTTTTTTCCAACTTCACGGTAACCCCAAATTTGATTTCCACTTAAAAATTCAAGTACGATGCGCTTCGATCTCAACATTTTGTTGCATCACTTCAGCATTTCAAGCATACTCTACTAATTTGGGTGCATTGTCGAATGTACTAAGACATTTATCTATTTCAAAAGGAAGTGGGGCTCAGTGATTGGCGGGCAGGATGGGCAACCAGAGACCCAGACACACGAATGACGGCCATCATTTAAAATGGTGAATTAAAGAACGCATAATATGTCTCTATTTTAGTAACGTTTTAGTACCATAGATCAGGGGTCCCCAACCGCCGGGCCGCGGACCGGTACCGGTCCGCAGGGCATTTGGTACCGGGCCGCACAGAAAGAACTTGCCTTTTTTCCGTTTTATTAATTTCGGATTGCGAAATGTTTTATTTTGAAAAATTACCGGATTCTCTGTTACATCCGTCTGTGTCACGCTTGACTCACGTCAAGGCACACTTCTCGGTCAGGTGACCGATGACGCTCATAAACAAAAGGCTGAAGCCCGCAAAATGAGTAAAAAAGCTGCTTGGAGATCGCAAATGACGGCGGCCTTAAAAGTACGTTCGAAACAACTGGATCAAAGTTATGGCTGAATACTCTGAGATCGCCACAATAGCACTGTTGCTATTTCCGGCATCCTACCTGTGTGAGGTGTGGAGTTTCTGCAGCAACGGCGACTAAAACAAAATTACGAAGTAGACTCGACATAAACCACACACTTAAGGTGTCATTACCCCGAGATGGGACTGTCTGATTGCAGAAAATCAAGCTCGGGACTGTGGTGAGTCGTCATTTTCATGCACTTTGAATTTGCGTTGTATCGTATTTTGAAGGCATTAAACATTACCACAGCGACCAGATTAGACGCTCCTTGTGTTTATTATTATATTTCGAAAACACCACAGTTTTCATGCAGCTCATACCATATTATTTTGTTGTATTAATCCGCCACACCTTCAATGCCGGTCCCTGAAAATATTGTCTGACTTAAACCGGTCCGTGGGGCAAAAAAGGTTGGGGACCCCTGCCATAGATAATTGGAAACAGGGAGAGACTTAAGCCGAGTCATGACTCTTGTTTGACTTTCGGACCACATTTTTCTGTTTTAGATTAAATGTTCTCAGAACCGTTCTGCTACAACTGATCGTTTTCTTCAATCCAGTCTGCATCCCACTGCCCCCACAAAAAAAAATAAAATAAAAAATGTCCCCAAAAACTTAATTGGTGATGTGCATCTACTTTACATGCTTGGTGAGCATAACGTCAACATCACTCCGTTTTGCTTGGCATGTGTGCTTACATCCAGATACATTTAAAGGCAATCACAGCAGTAACCTACATAGTGGAAGTAGTCACATTACATATCTACTGTATCATCGATGACGCCTGTAAGTAACACCATTGCATGCTGTTAATGAGATGTGCTTCATGCGACGAGTGAAGATTGGACTTTGTGGCTTTCTCAACTTCTATTGTGCTCGTGAAAAATGACTGCCAGGAATAGGAATGCAGCCGAATGCAGGGGAGAGAGAGCACAAAGCGGCGGTAGCCAAGCAGCGCTGCTGGGCAGGTGCCTGTAGCTCCATTTGAGCAAATCTATTATGAAAAATGAAATATGCAGATGGAAAAAAACGATTGCTAACAGGAATTCTGTCCCTGTCCTCGCATCCACGGTAATAGAATGTATTATGTTCACGCTATTATATTAGTAGCTCAAGTTTAAGGCTTTCACACATGACGTCTTAGATGTCTGTGATAAGTGTTCTCTTAAGAATATTGTAGGAAATAGTACAAAAGTTCAACTTTTAATTAAGTTTACTTTCCACTGACATGCTCCCACAGCAACATTTTAAAAATAGAGAGCCCTGTCACAAAACATGAGCGCCCTCAAAGTGGCCACTGTTGTACGAGTATGTTCTGGTTCGACAAAATCACTGACATCAATTTTTTATCGCTAAAGTGAAGTGGAACCTCCAAGGTAAGTAACATTGTAGCATTCTTAACCATGAAAGTGTAAAAGGAAGTTAGCCACTGTTATAATACAAACTTAACATCTGGACTTTAACTGTCATTAAACCGGTTAGTTAACCACCAATGTAACATAAAACAGTCCTGAGAGGCCTTCAAATTTGAAGGTTGCACAGAAATAATAAAAGGCTTCCCGCTAATTAGATTGCATTACTTTTCAGACAAACTCCAACTAAATTTCCATGACAATAGACTTAAGTGTACGTCGAGGCAGTGTTTCACAGTGCTTGACAGTGTTTGGACATTAAATGAACAAGGTAGCAAAGGCAATTCAAGCGGCTTAGAGGACTGATTAGGCGCAATGAGATTTCTCTTCTCTTGTGGAAGTTGAAGAAAATTAAAGGAAACTTTTGAAAGACCCACTTCACTATCATTCCCCACACACATTCAGCTTGCAAACTACAACAACATGTAACCAAATACTGTCAAACTAATCCAAGACTAGCGATTGTAACATAACTATTTGCGCGCGGGCAGCTAGCACAAGAAGCTAGCAAAGCAGGCCAGGAAGCAAACGTATTCATTTAGCGAGCGGTTCATGTCAAACAGCACAAACAGAAGAGACTTAAATATACAACACCAGTCAAAATAGTTCAGAGTACTTTATTCAGTACCTGGAATGAGAACAAAGAGCACGAAGTATAACTATACCAAAACAAAATCAGTCGCAGCTAAATATGACGTGACAGAAGCCACACGTATGGTCATTCATCCACATAACTCCTGGAGACCCCCTGCGACAACCATGATACTGAAACACTCAGTAGCACTAAACAAAACTACTTGCATATTGCTTGACAATGTTCGTCAGATTATGTCATAAGTATAGGTGCATATTTTTCTTTTTCACTTTTCTTTTCTCTTCTCATACATTTTTTTCAAAAAAAGTGCTGCAGAAAGCTAGAAAAAGAAAGCTAAAGCAAAAAGCAGGTATCGGTGGATTTGTGTGCCAAACTCAGACCAAAACATTTTGTCTCCTAAATAAGAATCATTGAAATGATAGCTGCAAATTACAGTCCTCTGCTTGGTCCATTCCATTTGTTTTGTTTTGCTTGATTCTCAGCGTTTCATGAGAAAATGACACCCGGCAAATAAGTAAATCGCAATAAGCTCACATCATCACTGCGTCAATGTAATCAGGTTCACACCTTCTTTCCCTTGAAAGTGGGCATTATTAAGACTGCTGAATACTGTCACAAAACAAGCCTTCCAATCCCTGCTATGTCATTTTTTTCAGGGATATTTGCACTGCTGACCTGAATTCGAAGTACCGAACTATGAAATAAGCGCCAATGTTTGCATCATTCATGGGTTCCTTTGCATGGGATAGTAGTACCGATTTTGTCGATCGCAGACAGATAAGATTTACATGGTAGCAACCTGAAACCTGATTGGGCAAAAGATATAACAATTTCCAACTATTATCCGAGCCACTTACCCTTACGAGGTTCGCTGGCGTGCCCGCAGACATCTCAGCTGTCTGCGGGCAGTAGGTGGTGTACACCCATAACATGGTTGCCAGCCAATTGCAGGACACAAATAGACAAATATGTAACGAAAATATTGGAAATGAATATGTAAATGTCGGGCAGTGCTTCTGATTGACAACGGCAACAATCATGTTACGTTTATGTTGTTAAATTTGTCCCTTATCATTAACTAATTGAAATCTTCGGGTGTTGTCATAATAATATGTCGCTCGTCTTCAAGACATGCTTTATGCCTTTGCGCCCAGGATTATGTTGCAAACATGGGAGTCCAAACGCGAGATTGCCGCATGATGTTATATTTCTGTATATGCGAATATTAGACAGTAGATGGAAGACAAAAATCAATTTGACATCAGCATATAAATGAGTTCTCAGCGCTCTCAAGTCATGTACAGCCGGGCGGGTTTTTCGAAAGCCACACTGTACCGTTGACATTATTGCATATTGACTTGGAGGATGAAAGACATCTTCACTCATACAGTAGGTACATCAGTGCAAATGGTCTCTGAAATATGTTCAACACATGACACAGTAAAAAAAATAAATTAAAAAAAAAAAGGACATTCACTGTTTCAATCTGGGCTGCAACTATCCAGACGTCCGAATTTGCTCTGCACTGAACACATTTGAGTCAGTCTCTTCGGCACCTGAATCACGACTGCACTGATGCTCAGACCGATCATTTTCTGTGCTACTCATCTGCGCAGTGGCTCCCGTCCAACTCACCGCTTTGTTTCACATCCAAGAGAAAAAAAAAAAAAAGATGGAAGCACATCAAGAGCAGACAGAAGTGTTCCTTACCTTCAGTATGTGCCAGGATCAGGTCTTGAATGACGTTCAACAACATTTTTGCCCGCGCACAGTCAAATGAAAATAACCCCATCTGTGTTGATTGGAGGAGGTAAGACTGATTGCATGGCAGGAAAGCAAAAATCCAATTTTTATTAGAAATGTTGCCATTTTATTTCTGATACGGTGTTTTGTTTTGTTTTTCCTCAGTGCAGCAACATTGATTGAAAAATCAAGTTTATCCATCCATTTTATATTTTGCTCGTTGTGCGCATTTGGCTTGCAGGTTAGCGACCAGGTAAGATCTTCAATTTGGAAAATCAAAATGTTCTTTAGACTTTTTTTAATGAGGCTAAAAAAAATTTAAAAAACACTTAAGGGTCAATAAGAGTAATCCTTGGTGCTGCGTGCAATGACTGCCGCAGTGTCTTCTTCACGTACACGGTTTATATTGACATGTGGAGTAGAGACAATAAATGTTAGCCCAAAAAGAAAAAAAAGTGGAGCGAATAATGAACAGTTCAAAACCAGTCAGCGTTATCACATAACCAAGTAGCGCTGGTAAAAAAAAAAAAAAAAAAAGGCCAACTGCATAATCGATTGTACAAGGATTAATTTGTGACAACCTTAAAACCATTTTTTAAAATGTATTTTTATTTTATTTATTTAGCGAGAAAGCAAGACAATGCCATGGAAAGACTGCTAAAACATTGGAACTTTATTTGTTTCCAACCACATTATGGGAGTAAAATACTTTTCCTTTCCTTCTCAAAATCATGAAAGCAATTTTTTTTTCAATTGATTTGTGCAAGTTATCGGTTATATTCATGGTGTAAATAGGTTTGAAATGAGTTATCGTGGTCTCGTTTTCGTACATCACAAATAAATGGCATTTGAACAGACGGTGTGGAGACTTTCCATATTCACGGTGTGTCACATTTAATTGCGTGACAGCGGGATGCAATGTTGCAGCGTGAAACTGCCCACAGTGTCGTGTAAGGCGGATAGATGTTGGGTCTTTTGTTCCAATTCTCATATGATGGCAAACTCAATGACCTTCAAAAGCATCTCCCCAAAACACCTCTAACCAAGCATTATTCAAATCCAGCAACGAAGATTCCTTATGATTAGAATGAAGTGAATCCACTTTTTGTCAGTTCGTCTGCAGCAAGATGACACCAAACCTCTTTCGACAAGGCATCACTTTGCAGGGACAAACCCTGGCAAATTCAGTTGAAAAATATGTCAGGCAGAGCGGTGAGGAAAATTGCACTGACTTGACTTTGACCCCTGTCTCGCAGCATTGCGGGACTACAATAAAGCAGGCAAAGACATGTTGTTTTGTATTATTTGCTCGCTCCTTTCCGAGCTGAAAAAGTGGTCATTGCGCCGACAACGGCACGTCACTATGCAGATAAACAATCCCGGGGTGTAGAATTGGCTCAACTGTAGGATGACAGCTAGAAAAAAAAAGAAGAAGAAAACAATTCACTCCAGACACTTCCTCAGCTTTAGTTTCATCGACCAGTGCGCCAACCCCCAATGCAGTCATTGCAGAGTCCATAATAAAAATGCATCAGATGGATCTCCCTGTCCTCAGCAGTACGTCACTCAAGGAGGGGGGGATGCGGGAGGGGGGGCACCATGTACACCTTTATGAGAGCTAATGACCCACAGCTTTTACAGTCTTTCAACCATCAGCATAATTAGATTCAATGCTGCTAGCATCAACCAGCCATTTACGTGCCCTTGAAAGTAAAAAAAAAAAAAAAAAAGGCAAGTGCGATGGACAAATGAACAAAGTAAAGATGAGCCGTTTTTGAGCATATCGCCAATAATTTGGAATGAATGCTTTTGCAGATGGCTCTCGCAGTTGACAGTTCGGACAGTGAGTGAATCTTAGTTTTCATTTTAGGCATACAGGATATATATACAGCATATGCAACTAAACCTTATATATACAGTATAGAGCTTTAAAACAATCATTGTTGCATATAGAGTGCTGTACCTGGAGTAAGAAAATAAATAAATAAAGACACACAAGCAAGAATGAAAACAGCAAATTAATCATAAATAAAGCAGACACCATAAAACACTGGCGAATCTCATGCGGATTCAAAAACCATAGATTATCAATATGTTTTAAGACGAGTTTTAAAAAGAGACAGGGAGGGGATTTGCCTCATGTTTCACTGAAGGTTATTCCGAAGGGAGGGAGCACCGAGCAGGTGCGAAATGGTGGAAGAGCTGAGGGAAGTAAGGTGGGGCTTGAGCATTTAAAGATTTGAAAACAAATACTGTACTATAAAATAAGAATGAACTAAACTCAAATATATACAAGGAGCCAGTGAAGAGAGGGCAGAATGGGAATGATGTCCTCCCTCCGACACGAGCTCCAGTTAGGAGGCAAGCAGCAGCATTTTGGATCAACTGGAAACACTTGAGGGAGAACCGTCTGACTCCAAAATAAAGTGCATTACAGTAATTCAGGCAAGATGGAACGAAGGCATGGATTAGAGGTTCTAAATGCCATGGAGAAAACAAAAAAACGATATATTGTCTGCACTTCTCACTTTTAATTTAATTCCAGAAATATTTTATGAGTGAAAATATTTGGTGTGCTAATTATATGTAGATGTAAATTTGTGCATTTTTGTTCTGCCTTGCCCTCCCTATAAATGGCTAGGGTACTGGTTAGCATGTCCGCCTCACAGTTCTGCTGCGGCCTACAGTCCAGTGTGTAACGCCTCCACTCTCACAACGTCAGTTTGAATAGCGAATAAGAACAAGTGCATTCTAGTGCAATGATGCATTGTTTCATAGCAGTCTTAACTTGAAAAGTGAAGAAAACGCAGGTGAAATACGAACTATCCACCACACAGCTAAAGGAATAAAAAAAAACGTCGGAGGACTTAAATGAGCAGTGACTCAAAATTTAGCAATGTCTCGAAAGTTACACTTGCAGCGTTTGTTTAATTACAAACTGTTTATCTATTATGACTTCGGAGAGTTGCCGTCCCTGCTATCATTAAATTAATCTTCGACCATTTTACACTTCTTTTAATTTCTATTGCATCGAAATAAATCTCTTTTCACTTGCAAAGTGTTTCCAAATGAGCCCAACCCATATAAGATAAGCACAACCCGCACAATAACAAATGGGATGCCGTGCGTAGCGATGAAAGCACCGTCGAGGGAGGATAATGTGAAAAGCCAGCGTTTATGAAAAAAGAAAACAAAAAAAAAAAAACCAGCATATGCATATTTTAAGAAATGAATCAAACTTGAAGTCTCCTTCTATCCAGCATGCAAGCGTGAAGCCCAGCGAGTGCTAATGCAATGAAAAGCAACATCACGCTAACTGCAGCGGATGGAGATGACTAAGTGTGTGTATACGAGTGTCTATTTCCCAACTCATTAGCGGTGAACTTCTCTCCATCCAGCATTGAGAATATATTCTCAGGGAAGCTGTCAGTGGTGATAGAACTTGGGCAGAAAGTTAGAAACTGGACACACACACACACACACACACACACACACACACACACACACACACACACACACACACTGACAGTAACTCGAAGTAATAGAGCTTCACGCTGATGAAAGCCGCTGCCAAAACCAATCTCGCACGTTTTTCCTTAAGAGACAATAGCCGCTATCTTTTCTTTCACAGGATATTGTAAACAGTTTGTATCACGGTAATATTTATAGCCCGCATTTGAGATCGTCGTGCAGCGGATTGTCACCGTCGTACATTTAGACATTATCATATTCATTGTGAAGTAACTGACACAGCCTCGCCGAATCTCTCGCCATCCAGGAAGGAGGCTGATATGAATAGAACTCAAATTCAAATCATCACATTCTGAAGGCACAAAACAAGTGATAAGAATCTAAAAAGCAGACTGGGGTGAGTGTGTAGCTATATAAGGCTAGCAAAACACCACGCAGATTAGATGTGGCGCACTTCGAGATTGTGAGGGTCAGGGGAGGCAAACCTACGGCCCGTGGACTGTATGCGGCCCGTACACTCTCTCTCTCTGTATATACACACACACACACACACACACACACACACACACACACACACACACACACACACACACACACATATATGTATATATGTGCGGCCTGGTGGCCCAGTGGTTAGCGTGTGGTTCGATCCTGGCTCAGGCCTTCCTGTGTGGGGTTTGCATGTTCTCCCCATGCCTGAGTGGGTTTTCTCCGGGTATTGCGGTTTCTTCCCGCATTCCAAAAACACG